CTTCTATAGTTCTCTTAATCCAAAGGGCCCCTTCTCTTTTACTACCTTTATTCTATGCTCCTTATACTTGTCCCTGCATCATGGCGATGCATGTATCTAGGAGAGCTATAAACCGAATTCCTCCAAATCACACTAATGCTACCCCTACCAAAGGAGTTATACACTATACAAACTGTTTTCTCTACAGATGACTTGGATCTTGCTGGACAAGACGGGAAAACAAAACTTAATGCCAGAATGAAATCAGGACTGACAATTTTTGCTTAGCAGCCCAATAGATCACTAAAAATTATGCAGCAGTTGGAATATTACAGTGGTGCTCATAGTTTTGGTCCTGCCAGCCAGATGAAAGGCACAGGGCTGTTCTGAAGGCTGGATTGGGCTTTGTACCTCCTCCGACCAGCCAGGATTAGGTTCCAGAGGTCCCACACTATTCTAAGTGCCTGATCCACCATGAAGGACTACAGCCCATGGGGATACCCACAGATCCATGGTGACCCACAAGGTTCCCATGATATGGCACTGGGGACTGGATCTGGCCCATGGGCTGGGGACAGCTTGTTTCATTGGCACTGAAAATACAACTGCCAGAAAAGAGGAAGTTTCTATCTGCAAACTTTAACCACACATTAAAGGCACTGAATAAGAACATTCATAAAATGCTGTTAAACTTCCCTGTTAACAGACAAAGTGAAGATGCAAAGTTCACTCACTTTCAACTTTGAAGTCTTTTCATGGAGCATCAGCATCTCTTTTCTAATGTTCACTAACTTGCTGTGATAATGTTTGGCTTCTAAAAACTTCCAAAAAGACAAGACAACTTAAAGACAATATTCAGGATCAACATCTTAGTCAGTCCAGACATAGCTTTATTAAGTTATCACCCAAAACAGCACCAAAAAGCTTTGAAATTAGCTTGAATGTATTCTATGTATTCAAGTTTTTAACTATTATTGTACATAATAACATTCATACTTATGAATGTACATCAAAAGGAACATACTACTATACTGAATTAAAGATCAGTGCAGGTGAAAAACATACTATCACTTTTATGCTCTACTATGTAAAATTTAAATCCTAGTGTTGCTGAAGTTCAGCAAGCGCTTTTCCTAAAAGTAAACCTTCCTTATGTGGCCCCACATAATTAAATCTTACACCTACTTTATGATCACTTAAATGTCTTTTTTCAAATGATAAGCTACTCTCAGATATCTTAACTGCATATAAAGTTGCTTACTAATTCCCTTAGATCCCATGGTAGTTATGAAGCACAGCTGTGACTCCTGTGATCATAAAAATCTCTGCAAGCCCAGGTATCAAACACAAACTTAAACCTAAACCAAAGGGCCAGATTCTGATCCCTGTGCACAGTCTGTGACTAAGTGCAAAAGGGGAAACCAGGCACTGATTTTGGCTACTGGTTTTGTACAGATGGACTCCTCCAGTCTACATTCACTAAGTCCTCCTCTCCAGGGCACATACCGACTGGCACGCTCTCTCTTCTCATATAATAAGAGCTATACTGATTCGGTCATGTTTATGATATTCAAATGAGCATGATTTGCCCCAGATTTCTAAAAATACCTATTTAAAAAAGCAGAACCACTGATGTAATAATGTTCATTAGTAGTCCATTTTAGGGGTGCACCGATAGAGATTTTGGGGGCCAATACCACTAGCTGATTTTTAAGGAGGTATATCAGCCAATAGCGATCCGGCTTCCAATGTCAACCCGGCAGCTTGGACAGCTGCGTACAGCTGGTAAGTCTGGTGTGGTGGAAGGGGAGGGGGAAGGGAAGGGGTGTGGGTGGCAGATCGAAGTCCCTGTAGTGAGGGAGGAGTGGGGCTGGGGCAAGCACTAGCCAGCCAGGGCAGGGTGGGCGTGGGACGGAGCTGTGGCTCGTCTGGGGGTCACAGCATGGGGTGGCGGGAAAGGCAGCTCCTGCTGCTGCACACCATTGGTCCAGGAGCCACTGGTCTGGTGCTCGGCTGCTTGTCTGGCAGCCCCCCCCGCTCACCCGGGGGGGGGCGGGGGGGGGGGGGGGGCGCGGG